AGTTCACATAATGTGAAATTCAGCATTTGTGAAACATTTTTGTTTGAGTTAAGCATTGCTAGAAAGAAAAAAATGGTGTTATATGTACTAATTAATGTATTAATACTAATTATGATATTATTGTTGATCACACTTATTATACAAAGAATAATGTTATATGTACTAATTAGTGTAATAAGTAATGTATTAATTGATAATGTGACATAATTTAACAAATTTTTGATATTTATAATATGATTAATGAGTGGGGTCAATAATAACGGTGGTTCTACATGCACCAATTAGTATAATAACTAGTGTATCAACATAATTATGATATTATTATCAACTTCACTCATTAATCACATTACAAATTCTAAAAATCTCTTAAACTATGTCATATCATCAATTGGTACATTAGTTAGCATATCAATTGGTATATATAGCATTATTCAAATAATAATGTCAAAACTAGTATTTGGTACACTAGTTAAGTACACTAATTGGTGCATATAGCACCACCATATAACAAATTACAAATACTAAAAACCTTTTAAATTACATCATATCGTCAATTGGTATAGCAATTAGTACACTAATTGGTGTATTTAGCAATTATTGAAAAGAAAAAAGGTTTGGATAGGATTTTGAGAGTGTAATAAATTCAACTAGTAATTAATCAAACCTTAAATTAATCTAACTCATTAATATCATAGGAAAATTATGGTTATAACTAAAGAAAAAAAAATGATATAATTTTATACTATTTAAGTCATAACTATAAATAAAAAAAATATAATCAAATAACATACTAGCCATAATCAAAAATATTATAAAACATAATTAAATAAGAAAATTAGTTATAACTAAAAAAAAAATAGTATAACTTAAAATACATATCGTAAGAATCTGAATATATTAGAATTTCCTAATATCTTTCAACGGTTGCCTTTTCATTTAATAGAACTTTTAATTTGATTTGATTTTTATTTTGGTGTCATTTGACGCAACTCTTTACATGTTACATATGAGTTGTTTTGTTAATTGAATTGTTTAGTAATTTTTTATAAAAAAAAGTAAAGAAAAATAATTTTTTAGAGTGATTTCTTAACTTCTTAATTAAGAAACTTCATATTCCTAAAATAAGGTATGTTACATCATGTGATGAACTAACACAATATGTATCAGTTGTCGTTTGGCTAGGGCTCTTTTAATTAGCTTTTTTTGAATGATTTTTTAGTTTGGGACTAAAAATTTATTTTGATTTGTTTTTTATTTTATTTTTGTAACTTTTGTAAGAGAAATATACAATGATTATGATTTGAATATGATGTTTTTATTTTATTCTCTTATTTAACCTATTTTATCCTTTGTACTTTTTAGTCTCAACTTCTTTGCCAAACAAAGCCTTAGTTTTTTTTTTTGTTTCTAGATAAAAAGTGGGATTCATTAAATGATGCATACATGGTGCCACATGATAAAAATACCTAATTATAGTATGCAAATGTAATGGAAAATATCTCGTAACTCAAATTTTGTGGCTTAAAAGTGGCTCAAATGGCAAAAAACGACGTCGTTTTGGCCATTTTATGTTATTCTGTACTCAAAATGACGTCGTTTTGATGCTATTCTCTCTAATTTTGCACATCTAATTTTACTTTTAATGATGTGATTTATTCTCATGTGAAATGGTCATACACATAAAAAAAGAGTAGATTGATTATTATTATTTGTCATCTCAATAAAATCCCGAATTGAAAATGATGAAATAAGTTCCTGTCTAAAAAATAAAAAAATAAAAAAAATGATGAAATAAGGGGATAAGGCATTTCTCAATAGTCTAGTACTATAAATTTTTTGGAAGAATTTCATAATAGTGATGATAAAAAAATAAAATTACAAAAGCATGGGGGGGTATGTGTGGGGTATAAGGACTTTGTGATAGAGTGCAAGTGAAAGGTTGTGAAGATACGCGTGTGAGCTTATGCCCCTCTATATTTATGTAAAAAAAATTGTCAAATTACACCACGGTCCTTACATTTTAGTCTCTCCAGTTTCATTGGTACAATTTTAACCTTCATTTTAAATTTTGTATCAATTTAGTCTAATTGATAATGTTGTTTAATCTTTTTAACTGAAAGTAATTACTAATTGATTGAAGTTACTGAATTAATTGAAATTAACTCATTGATATTAGTAAATTTATAATTTTATTCTAAAAATATCACATGTCACTTATATACATATTTTTTATAAAAAAATGATAAGAATTATAATCAATTGGACTAAATTAAAATAAAATCATAAATTCAAACCAATTGAATTGCAATACAAAAAATAATAGGACTGAAGTACAGAAATTACCACCCAATTTATCTAAAAAAATTTCGTTTTTTCCACTGAAGATCTAATTCCCTTATTTTGTGTGTGTCACAGAGCTCAGAACCTTGTCCCAGATCTACTCTATCGATCTAATTGATCATTCTTTATTCTCTGATAAAGTCTCTTAATGCAAAAAAAAAAGAAAAAAAAAAAGAAAAAAAGGGGAGAGTCCACTGAAGCCAAATGGGTGCTTTTTTTAAACAATCAAATAAAGTTCAGGGATAAGAACCCAGTTAGAAGAAAAGAATATATATTTTTATCAACCAAGAATGACACATATTAAGTAGACTTTGGTATAATATTCCATATTAATAAGCTTTACAAAAAATATTTATAGACAAAACTGACAAAGAAATCCTACCTGTTTCCATGATATAATTTTGTTCATACACTTATCTCAGAGTATTAATGAGGGACATTTATAACTAATTTTTAATTTATGAATGAGTTATGTTAGATATCAAATGAATTATTAAATATTTTATCAAACTTTTACATGGGTGTGGGACCACACAAATCATATGGGTGTGGTACACCATGTGAGAGGTTTGACAGAATATTTGTGTGGGACCACACAAATCACATGGCACTCATGTGAAAGATTTTGGTAGAATATTTAGTAATTCATTTGGGGTCTATAACATTTCTCTTTATCAATTTATACTCTATTAAATTTTAATTAAAATTTTTTTGAGCCTTCAAGTTTCATTAAATTTTTAATCGTCAGAATCAAATAATAGTTGTTCATCATTTATGATTATCCATAAAGGAACATGATGATTTGACATTTATTTTTATTTTCAAAACTTTAAAAACACCAACTTTAAATTGAAAAAACTAAAAAAAATTATGTGCCAAAAAAATGGAAAATTGAATTATTTTTTGTGCAAAACTAAAAATTTTGTATCTATAAAGGAACATGATGATGGAACATCGATGTGCAAAATTGGAAAAAAAAAAAAATAAAAAATAAAAATTGAAAAAATAAAATAACTGATAATATTGTTAGTTTTAAAACCAATAAGTAAAAGGGCAACAACGTTAATCTCATGCTCTATTTTTTTTTCCATCAGTTAGTGAAATAATTATCTAAAAATATTAATATCCAAAATTGATAATGTTCTTAATTTTAAAATTAGAAAAAACTGATAATATTTTTAGTTTATTAAAATAAGATTTATTGGTTTAAAAAACTTAAATATGACTTAAACTATCATAATATTTGTAAATAGGACTTTCAAAAAATTGACACATTAATCAATATTAAAATCATAATAAAATTACAATTCGATATGTACCTGTAAAAATCATAATGTAGGTGAATATTACTCAATGTCCTGATTGTTGAATGATTCTTTCATGACGTCAACCCAGTTAGAAGAAAAAAATATATAAACTTGTATCAACAAAGAATGACACATATGAAACCCTCGTTGGGAATAGGCTTTTTAATAATTTTTAATTTTTTGATTAAAATATAATGTAAAAAATTATATATTTGAGAGAAATTTTTGATTTTTTATGAAAAAGATGTGTAAAAAGTAGAGTGAAAGAGAATTTTGACTTTTTGTATGATTATTGACTTTTTAATTCTTTTAGTGACTTTTTAATTTTTTGATTAAAAAAGCCACTTGCAAACGAGGCCTTTGTAGACTATGCTACTATATTCCATATTAATAAATTTTACAAAAAATAAATAAATAACAGACAAAATTTGGAAAGTGAGTTGGCTTTTTAATTTTTTTGATTATTTTGCATGGGCTAAAAAGCCTCGTTTGAGAAGATTTTTTTTGACTTTTTATGAGAGAAAAAATGCAAGATTATGGAATTTTGAAAATGGGTGGAAATTGTTTTTGGTTTATTGAGTTAAAAAATCTATTTTTTTTTTTTTAATGAACTATTTTACAAAAAAAACCCGAACCTCAACTTACCCGAAACATAGCCAAAGAAATCCTAGAAACCGATACCATGATGTAAATTTGTTCAATTGACACTTATCCCCAACATATCAAATCATATTAACAATAAATAAAATATACAATTTCAATATATCAACTACGAGTCAGGTAAATATAGGTAAAACCATAATGTAGGTAAAATATTAACTCAATGTCCTGATAATGAATGAATCCTTTCATTAATACAACTATCTACAAGAACCCAACAAAAACATATCATATAAAAGTAATGAAGAAAATTACAACTTGCTAAAAACAACGCAACTCCGACAAAATCAGTTGATTTAGTAAATTAGGGTGAAAGAAACCATATTTACGAAGGATCTGAATTAGCAAAATTTAATGCCTCTCCATCCCAAATCCGCAAAAATCACCAGCATGCCGGATATGATCTCCATACATTACATATGTTGACATCCCGTAAAAATGCGTGATAAAACGGTCCTCCTCCGAAACCATCTTTTCCCATAGCACCATTTTTTTAGATACGGTTTCCCTCACCACAGCGTAACCCTCCGGTCTCTGTCTCCGCTCGTCTTCTCGCTTAAATTCATGCACCTTCTTTCTCTATTCTAACATAACTCTCCGTGAATTATCATGTCCCCACTATATCAAGCCAATTCCTTGGAAATAGTACTCACCTCTTGTAAATCTTTATCCGCGCCATTTTTCTGCTCTCTTTTATAACAAATAAACCAGACCCGATTGATCGTCTTGATCCTGGAAACATCTTTCCGGAAGCGTTGTCTCTGAATCTGGCCCTTCTCGAATCCGGGTTTGTGGGCCCATGCTCGCCCATACTTGCATGAAATCCATGGACGCATTGACAATTTCCTGAATCAGAACAACACCGGCATTCAACATCAACGCGCAACTTTTTTCCTCATAGATCAAGTGGGCCCAAAACCATGCACCCACAGATATGATCTCCTGTTCCTCTTCAGTGGAAAGCTTAAACTCCATATCTGTGAACACAGCGTCCGAGTCGACCCACCCAGAATCCACTCGGCTTCCGGGTGGGCCCACCATCGCGCCCCGAATAAGTGGTAACTTGGCCCCAATAAGAGCGCATATTCGGTGTAGGAAGGTGTTGCTGTAGAACACATCCGGTTAAGCCGTGGATTCGGCAATAGTCCAACCTTATTCCTTGAAAAATCTCAAACATCAGATGGTCACCTCTTGGGTTCTTGCAAGGGCCCCCCCCCCGGACCGGGGGGGGGCTTTTGTGATCCTGGTGACGAGTAGAATCGATCGCCGTCGCTGCCGGCGCGACGCGGGTGGTGGAGGAGCCACTCTCGCCGCTTCTCGCCCAGTTCTCGATGGGCTTTTCTAGGAGTGAACTGAGAGTTGGGTCGTCGTAGAAATGTGGGGTTGGCTTGGGTCGTGGCGGAGGTCCACGGCGGCGCGTGAACGGGGTTTGCAATAATTGGGTGGAGGTTGACACGTCGAAGCCGATACGTGTTTTTGGTGATTTGGTGGAGGTAGAACAAAAGGGTGGGTGAGAACCAGAGAGCCACAAACGCGATGAGAGCCATGCGTACGCTCCGATGAGGAGGTAGAGAGAGGGGAGGCGTGAGGGCTTGATTTGAAGTGGGTTTTTTGGCCATGGTTTTGAATTGGAAGGGTGAGGTGTCCTCCGGCGAGATTCCAGTGTGGGCAAGAAGGAAGAAGAAGAAAGAAAGAAGGGTCATGGGGAAATTTAATAAAATGAATGATTAAGGGATTAGGAGGAAGTGTCCCTCATTGGTTGTAATTTTAAAATAGTTAATGTGGAGTATCTTGAAGTAAAATATTTTAGGGAAACAAATTATATATATAATATATATATATTAGGATAATTTTGGGCCAAAAGTTAAATTAATATTTTTTGGTTTGGTCAAAAGTTACAATGTCAAAATTATGAGTGATTTTAACTTTATACAACAAAATAAATTCCATACATCTATTTTCCTTTACACCATATTCTAAAAAGAATAATACTTGGACCCGCACGCCCCTTTTGGGAGTCACCCCTCACCCCCCCTTTGCCACGTGGTGGGTGGTGATTGGATGGAGTAGGAAAAAAAAGAAAAAGAAAAGAAAAATGTAACCAATAAGAGAGAGAGGGGGTCAAAGGGGGTGGGAGGAAAAAGGGGGGATAAATCATTGTGATAATTCCCTCTTTTTAACACTTCTCATAATGCAAGCCAAACTTAATCCTCATCTTTTTCCAATCCCAAGATTCCCAAACCTAAGTCTTCCAACTATCACTTCCAAATAGCTACTTCATCTCTGGAGCCATTGTCCACTTACCTTCACAGTCTTTTCCATCCAACCAGACCAGAACACCTAAGCGATCACCGTACCACTGTCTTTAACCACAACATTTTGCAACCATCACCACTGTAGCCACGCGCTTTCTCCATCATTCCATTGCCGTGACATCACTATCGCCTTAACCACCCCATTCTACAAACACTTTCAAATTTGCTTCTCCACTACCAGCAAATCCCACTAACTAGAGTAGAGAAGACAAACAGACAGACAAAAAAGAGAATGAAATCTAGAAATTGGGTTTTCGGATGAAAAAAAAAAAAAAAAGAGATAAGGAGAAGTGAGGGGCAAGCGACGGGGAGGAGATGTGGGTAAACAAAGAACCGCTGCAACCAAACTTCCTTCCTACAATACTTTCATATATACTCCCCATCCTGCAGATGCACCAAACCATCGATGCCTTCTGTAAAAAAAATATTTTTTTAATTTTTTTTATGGTGTATTAAAATTATTTCCTACAACTTTCCATGTTGGAAAAGTTTTGGCAAAAACCATTACTTTTTAAAAAAACCCCATTAATGATGCCTCGAACATGCTTGATGTTTCCTTCCTGCCAGATTGAAAAGGGTAACAGGACTATTATAAGGGGGGGCACCTCCTTGCCGCCGGGCAAGCCATGTGGCAGGTACGCCCCATGTGGGCGCGGACTGGGCTGTGCGGCCATTGGGTTACATGCACTGCGGCTTCGGAACCGCGGCCCTGGGCTGCGGCCTGGGGCGGCTCGCCGCGGCCTTGGGCGGCCCTGGACCGCGGCCTTGGGGCGGCCTTGGCGGCCCTTGCGGCCGCCTGGGGCCGCGGCCTTGCGCGGCCTGGGCCGCGGCATTGGCGGCCTGGGCGCGGCCTTGCGCGCCCTTGGGCAGCATGGCGTGGCCATGGCGCGCGTGAGCGTGGGCGGCCTGGCATGCGCGCGGCCTGGGCAGCAACGGCATGGCATGCGCACAGGCCTGGGCGGCCTGGCATGCAAGCCAGGCCTGGCATGCACCGCGGCGTGGGCAGCACGGCATGGCAATGCGCACGGCCCTGGGCGGCCTGGCAGCAGCGCGGCCGTGGCAATGCCCGCGGCGTTGGGCAGCACGGCAATGGCATGCGCAAACGCCTGGGCGGCCTGGCTATGCAGCCGCCTGGCATGGCCCGCGGCGTGGGCAGCACGCAATGGCATGCGCGACGGCTGGGCGGCGCCCTGGCAATGCAGCCGGCCTGGGCAAGCTACCGGCATGGCAATGCGCGACGGCTGGGCAGGCCTGGCATGCCCGCGGCGTGGGCAGCGTGGCCTGTGCGATAACCGCGCGCTGTGGTCTTTTGACCACAGGTGCGCGTGTTGCGCGCATGGTCCGCGCACTCCTTTGCACGCCTTCGAACGCAACGCACGTCTAGTGATAAGAAACCGCAGCCAAGGGCAGCCCAGCCCCAAGGCCAAGGCCATGCAGCCATGGCATGCCACGGCGAAGGCCAGCCACCAAAGAAGCGCAGCAGCATGCATGCCAAGGGCCAAGCAGCATGCCATGCCACGGCCAAGGCAGGCCAGCCAAGCCCAGCAGCATGCCATGCCAAGGCCAAGGCC